GTTTGAGACAGAAACACAATTTATTGGTCTGGGTAGGTCGTCAGATCCAGAGAGGGGAAAAGCGTTCAACTGCGCAGAGGAATGGCGGATTTCCACTGATAAACAAACTTATAGGCTCCCTCTTTGTGGTAGAAAGGAGTGCAGCGTGCTAGACGCGCCCTGGTCACCGCCGTGGCCATATTCAGCTGAATGACAGCGTGATGTGATTTTGCTCAGTAAAGCTGAAGTCTGATCTGACTCGGTGACTTTGCCCTTGAACCAGTGGATTGGATTTGTTCTGTTATCCTTCTTGTGGCCGCTTAAAATCATCTGAGACAAGGAAATAGGACGTCTTGGAGCAACACGTGGGACACACTACTTACAGAAATACCCTGTGCCATTTAAGTGTTTAGTTGAAACCAAATGTGGTCTAATAGGCTTGCGCATATAGTCTCATTAAGTCACACACACTTATCCTTAAAATCTAATAGCAGGCTAACTCTTTGAAGGCAAAACTGTACCGCCTGTTTATGCTATCACAGATATCTTTGCACCATTTGGAGGGGCTGAGTATTGTTTCCATAATGAATGTGGCTCCCAGGGGAATGACATGACATCTGGATAGGAGAGTGTGTTGAGAGAAACCCACAGTGTACAGAAGTAATGGAGCAGTCCCTCAGGGCTAAACTCTTTCTTCTTTCTCTTTAAAGATCTGTTATGATTGGGCAGTAATGGCATCCTAAGATTTAGATATTAATAGATATTAGCCAATCGTGTTTCTGCATTGAAGTTCCACAGTGCGATTTAAACACTGTTCTTTTCCAAAATTGCATTGGTCTTTGTTTAAACAGAGAGTCTGTTCTCCACAGTAATGCTGCTGTAGCATTACTCACTACCCGCAAAGGCTAGAGGTCTGTCTTAAACGCGAAATAGTCATAATTTTTGGTATGAAAAAATGTATTATGAATAAATCTTAAAGTAGTTCTCATAAACCAGGATTAGCTGAATCCTCCTCTTCTGGTGCATTTGCTTTTGAATGTTGGTAGTAAAGCCACAGAGCTAAATGAAAACCACAACCACTGAAAGTCATTCCAAATCTTGTTTTGTCTATGTGTTGGCTCACAGCTATGATTTAGGATGCACCAAAGCACGTACGAAAACAGAGCCATAAACAGTACTTGTATTCTGACTTGAAAATGGTCACCCTTTGTAATCTGTCAGGAGCGTGAAGCTGAGGCGAAGCAGTGTGGAGTCAAAAAAAACAGTCTGGTGATTATGTGCAGATTGCTTCATGATCCACCTCTTCCTCCTCTTGGCTTTTCCCAGACTTGTTATGTTTCAGCAGGTTTGATGCAGGCCTGCTCGGAGCTTAAAGTAGAATCAGCATTTTTTTTCTCTCTCAGCACTTCAGCATTTTTTTTTATTTTCCATCAGTGGAAGTGATTCTAGACAAGCTGATGAGCGCGTATTTTGGGAAATTTGACGGTGAGAACTTATTTGGCTCACACAACAGGGAGGTCATGACAGAAAGAAGAACTGGATTGAAACCAGGGTGAGGGGATGGATGGGGGTGAGGGGGGTGGTTTGAAAACTCATCACTTCCTAGGGATCAACAGTTGACCTCCCAGTGCACGCACAGACAGAAGCAGGAGGACACCCACACACATTCACACACCCATGCCTATTCTTCACAGCTGCGCAGTAGCTTGTATGAGTAACTCCTTTACAACAGACTGTGACCGTGATGGCACGTGACTTAAAGAATGTGAGTTTTACCTTTTGACTGTCAAGTCCCTGCAGTAATAAAACCTCCTCCCCTCCCACTGCTGCAGAATTAAATACATCACACAGGTAGAGAAGGTGTGGCTCTTTGCAGGTATTTGCTCAAGGATCCCAGCTTGAGACATGAAGTACCCCTGTGTTCACACATTCATTAGCACACAATACCTACAAAAGGTTTATTTTCAGGCACTTTTTAAGTGAGCGTGTGCGTATTTGTGTTTCCGCGTAAAATAGTCAGCTTGCCTTGATTGTGTGTTTGAGTGGGTGCCAATTGTGAGAGCAGGATGAGGGAAAAGAGGGGGCAAAAAGAGGCCATTCTCTGGGCTAATTGCCAGTAATTAGTCATTAGTGAAGAAGGTCAAATCCTTGATTTAATTCCAGCTTTAATCAAGCAGAGAACCTTCAAAGGCTCATGTGCTAAAGCAATGTTTAGTTATGAGATGCATTGAGCTATTTCTGATTTCAACAACCTATCTAATTTGAGTTTTTAATTTGTTCACTGCTTGGAAGGCATCTTAACATCTGGCTCCTTTTTCCATCTGATATTCAATAAATTGTCATTTCCTGCAACAGCACTTCTCAGTGTGTGCAAGCTTTAAGTTGCACCTGCGCACACAGAACTAAAGCTGTTGATGCATCTGCAATATTATTCCTAGAGGGAACATTACTTGATTACTTAATTGATAGAAAACTGTTTGCCAGCAGTGCTACTATTAGTTTGAGAAATGCAGAGTGGTTCACTCTTACTGCTCTGCTAAAAAGGCTGGAGTGCAGTGAATAATAGTAATAAATATATGGAATCAAATAAGAATTAGAAAATAGTCACACAGGAAAATATTTGAGGATTCAGTAGTGAAAATGCAGTAATCTGCTTGTGGATTTGTGCAGTTTTTTTTTTCAATTTAATTTAAAAAATGCTAAATGTGTGTTAAAATCTTCCACTGGAAATAGGCCAAACATTCCCTAGTTTACTACGTGCATGATGTGAATTATTTCTTTGTTTTGTCTTTCTTTGTCATTCATAATTGCAGTTAAGTATTTACTGGTATTTGCACAAAACAGGCATATAGAAGCCATAACCTTGAGTTCTAGGCACATTTTTAGACAGAGTTGTAAACTGACTCTGTAGGCAAAGGTGCTGGAAGTTTCTTAGCTTTACATTTGTAGCCCCAAGTTCTTCTCACCAATCACGTTCAGGCAACTTTGTTTGCATTTCAATAACTTTTAAACATTTTCTTCAGTTGTGTGCATACAATCACCTGTGAAATGAACAGGAAGGTTTGACCCGGATTTCCAGTATCCGCTGTTTGGATATCCTCGCCACACAGGAAGCTGCGAAAATTGGCCGTTGGCTTTTAAGTCGGCAGACTAGCTGATGTGTTCCCATGTTGACAGAATAATGTATGTGGAGTCAGTTCCAAAACAAGCACAGGCTTTGAAAGTTTAAGCACTGTGGAACTCATTTATACTATTATAGGAGTGTGATTAATGAGCCCAAGTTCATAACTCAATAGATGCTAGTTTGACTGAGCAGCCAAAATATTTCTCATGGTGCTTTTTTTGTCCTGTGGGTGCACAAATAGCAGCAACAGGTAGCAGCTAAGAACATTAGATCTCATTAAACCTCTCCATGAAGAACATGCTGGAAACCTCGCTTGGTTATTTTTAATGCTTTGAGAGTGCCATTTTAGTGTGCTGCTCCTGTCTCACTTCTACAGAGCATCAACATGTAGCAGAAGCACACATTAATGTAGCATAATTTCCCTTCTCTTTTCTGCTTTTCCACTGTATTTTCCTATAAATGTCTACACAGCTGAATATGCCACATGATTATGTCCTCAGTGCTGTCAGAAATCACTACCGGCAGGGAGAGCAGGCCATAAGGAAACCTTTCTCCTGAGGGGACAGTACGCTGATTACATTATTAGAAGTTTAGATTTAAGAATGTAGCCTAAATTTAGGGCTGCCAATTATCTTCTTCCCGCGCCTTAACAAACCATAATACATCTGTGATTACTAATTATGGCTCTCGGGGTTAATTTCATGTATTTTATGTGGGCCATGACACACTAATATAACACAGCGTGCTTTTCAGAAGGATTGCATTATTTTAATTTCTCCCTCTGGGATTTCTTAAAGAGACGCTAGCGTTTCTCCTCTTCCGTCATGTTCTCCTCTTATGTGTCGGGCCGCTGAGTCACAGGAGGAGGACAAAGCCAAACGAGTGTCACTGAGAGTATATGGTTACTAGTGGTTCTCCTTTAAACACTGTGTAGTCGATCCAATCACTTGCTGGGTAGTCTGCGCAAGAAGGCTCTGAGTTGTGTAAGGCAAATGGATGGACACAAGAAATGGGAAGTTTCTGGTGCCATATCTCAGTTTGAATATCTGAAGAAGGATAAATTAGAAGGAACACTTTAACATTTACGGGTTGGTCTATTTTGTGGTGATAATAACATGTTGCCTTGCCTCTGTCATCACTAAACAAGTAGAACATCTACTTCTTGCATTCATATTTTTAAGTCTAAAAATTATTACCTGATTTAAAAGCCTGCTACAGTAGACGCAGTCTTCCACCAAGGGTTACTTTTGCAGATCAAATCCATCTCTGCATGGTTTATTTAGCTTCCCTCAGGATTTCTCATGTATTGTTCCTCGCTGCCTTTAAGTTATATTTTTGGCCTGTGTGTGCATCTGGATTTTCACTTTGCCCTGTGTTTTCCTGGCTATCCTAGAGCACCTAAAAAAGACAATTCCTGACTTCCTGGAATGCTATCACACTTGTTAAACACACGAACATATTCACAGAGGCGACTCAACTGAACATGCTGCTAACAATACCTTTAAGCTTGTATGCTGGCACAGTTATTTCACAGCGTGATATGGTGTTAAGTTATTTTTGGCAAGACAAAATAGAACTTCAACCTCTGACCACTTCTTGTCACCCACTCAACACACGTCATTTATAAAACCTGCAAAACAGAAAGAGAATTTGTGATGTTTAAAAAAAACAAGGAGAACGTAGTGAAGAAATGTTACTGACATATAATAACCTTTGGACTGTATTAGTGTCTTCATACTGTCTTCCCTTGCTCTTTAGCCCTGAACCCTTTTTAGAGGAAGTAATTGGAAACGTCTGGTTGTACTGTACTTTTAGACAACCCCTTCCACCATGACCTTCCCCAACCGCGCCCCCCTCTGGCCAGACCTCCTGGTTGTACCACTACAACAGGTGTTTCTGTATAGATAGAGGGGGAGATAAAGAGAGAGGAGAAACATGAGTTGAGTGGGCGGTAGAGGAGCTGATTTGTGCTGCAGTCGGGCAGCAAACAGTTCCTGTGGGATTGATCTCTGGGGAAGGATAATCTGGGTAATCCTATAACCGGCGCTGTTGGACTCCGCCTCTTTTGCTCTTCACGGAGGCCCCCCCATCCCTCCCTCTACATGCCGACCCTTCCGTCCCGTTCTTCTCTGAAAAGTGCTCGATTGAGCATCCACCAAGCCAGCACTTTGAGTCTGACACCTGGTCCTGAGCGACTCGTGTTCTTCCAGCGCTACCATTAGGGCCTGAAGACATGTGGCATCCAGTGGCATCACCTGGAAGTGGGGGCAGCCCTGGAACGGAAATAGGTTATGGTCACTGTGAGTAGCTGGGTTTTGTTTTTTGTGTGTGTGTGTGTGTGTGTGTGTGTGTGTGTGTGGAATCATTCCGATGCAACGCGTCTCTTCTGTGGGTTTCAACAGAAGTGAAGCTTGAGCACGAAAAGCTCGTGGTGCACAGATGCATTTGAGTAATGCCTCTAATCCCTGTGCACTCTTTGATGAAGTTATTTTGAATTTCTTTCTTCCGAGGAGACACCAACAACTCTCATGGCAATTGCATCTGCAGATCGTTAAACCCGTTTTTTTTTTCTTTTATATATATTCTTCTCTCACCCATGTTGTATATATCCCTTGCTAAAAAATAACAAAACATTTAATTATTTTTTTAAACAAGGAACTGCATCTTTAAATCTATTTCCAGGATATTCTCTGCTAACAGATTAGTTCCTTTATCATCACTGGGTCATTTTAACAAGTTGTGGCAGGTACAAGGTTTTCCAGTTGGAGATCGGGATCTAGAACTAGTGACTCACTTGAATTCTCAGATGAGTTCAGCGGGGTTGTCACTCAGTTTAAAAGGATGCTTCCAGCTCTCTTTGCCTTGTCCTTCACTGTCTCTTTATCTCTCAACACTTGTCCCTTCCTGTTAGCCCTCTTCATCACGCTTTCTTTCTCCATTTGTGTCACACTGCCTGTCACCTTTCCATCAACAGCCTCAGTGATGTGTTTGTTTCCTTTTTTTTTTCTCCTTTCTATCCTTCCTGAAGAGGTGTGGGAAGCATTGGTGTGAGCCATTAAGTGGCTTCTCTGTCTAGAGAATATGTATATCTGCAAATTGTGCATTTTAGAGCACCCTCGTGTTTTTGAGTGTCCTTGAGAAACAAATTCTTCTGAAAATACTAAAGTTGTTCAGTGGATTTTCTTGGCCTGGGTGGAAGTATGGTCTGAGGACAGTAATATAGTCTAATACCGACTTTCAAACCTGGCAGTCCAAGTGTTTTATGTTCATGGTTATGCTTATTATTGGCTCTTTCTGTTCTGATCATTCATTAAAAGCACCGCAGGACATTCGACAAAGCTGTGATTAAATCCATATTATGCTGAGCTTCAGCTATGTTGATGAAATACAGTGTTGCCTATTTAGTATCAGGAGCAATTCAATAAAACTTAAACAAACAACAGGACTATAGCTTAATAAATGCTGGCAGTTTTGCATGTTTTTCAACAGTCCAGTACAAATTGATAGATGTGGCATTAAACCGGAGCCACCATATGGTTTCATAATGATTTTCCTTGTCTGAAACAGCGATTAGTTTATAGGAACTTTTAAAGCAACCAAGCACTGGGTTTAAATAAATTTGATCCCATGTTAACTTTAAAGATATTTCTGTTGTTTGATTTTCACATTTTAGTTGCTTTGGCAATGTGGAGTAAATCATAGCTAAGAATAATTTTTAGAAGATTAAAGGAAAATCGTCAAATGCCTCTTGTAGTTAAAGGGGTACGGTGTAGTTATTCTGAGGGAGCGAATCCTTCTTTTTGAAAACTTTGTTTTGTTGTGCTAAATGTGCTACCTCCTAGCATCATGTCCGAATAACCAGCAGCTTGCCTGACTTTAGCAGTTAACTTAAAGCAAAGCCGTTAGCATGGCTATGGCTTAGAAGCTTAATCCTATCACTACCTCGCTTCTTGTCATTTAGCATTTTTCTTCTCATTTCCCGATTGGTCTTTTTATGTTTCTGTATATGACCACAAGGAACACATTGTTTTTCATGTGATACGGTACCCCAAGACCAGACTGTCTGTGTTCACTCTAGCTGCTAAGCTGGTGTAAGTCCGACTGTCTTTCTAGGATCCAGAAAGCTGGTGTAAGTGTCGTCCTCTTTCTAGGATCTGTCTTCAGTTCACGAGGTCAGGTCGGCCTGGTCGCAGCATGAGATGAATGGGTTTGTGTGTGTTAGGCATGTCAACAGCACATGGCTATATCTCCATTGCCCCCTTTAACAGTGAATGACTACTTCTAGGAACTAATTTGAGTTACCTCAGCAGGCGAAGCCAAAAGGGCGGATGCCCGATTTGCATTGGGACTTTCGGCCCAGCTGTTTGTTTGTTTTCCAGGACTGCTTGGTCAGCCTGTTCTGTGTTAGCTCGTGTTGTTTAAGTTCCAAACTTTTATCACTTGCAAAACAGTCTTTATCTTATCCCTGACTCAGTTATGGGCTCATCGATTCTCTGTGGGCCTGTGTTTAAAAAACCCCCCAAAAAACAAAAGTGGCAGGTCTGTGTTTGATTCAAGAGAACTACAAATGTGGTCTGCCTGTGGGAAAACAATATATGTACTTTCCAAACAATTTGCTTTGCTTGTATGAATGCTTGCTATAGGGAAACTGAAAGAAATGGGGGAAAGAGTTTATTCCTCTTCTGTTCAGAAGTATATTTGATTTCACTGGAGGGTTTCACAGGGCAGAATTTGGGGTCAGAGAGGTTTGCTATCTGAAGCCTTTATGTTGTCACAGCCGTAAGCCTTTATGGACACAACTCAACCCCCCCCCCCCCCCCCCCCCCCCCCCACACACACACACACACACACACTTTTCTTTATGTTTCCAGCAAGACAGGAATGATACACAGCTGTAACATCTGTTCTGCTTGTAAAATGAGCGGTATTAATTTTGGCTGACAAAGCAGTACGAAAATGGAACAGGTGTCCTTGAAGCAGCTTTGGACAGAGTGCTGCTTATGTAACAGTGGACTGTATCTTTATTTTCTATCACCAGCAACCATTCGTATCTCCTAAAATCACAGCTGTGCAGAAAATAAACAGGGGCTTTTCTCAACTCATGATCTAATGTCCTCGCACAGGCGGGGCGATTAGGAGTGTGTGGTGGTAGTGTTAGTGCAGTCATGAGGGCTGGGAAGAGAAGGAGAGCAGTGCCCTCCCCCAGCCATCCAGCCAGCCATCCGTTGCTACCTTCTTCCTCCCTGGGTCTATTCGGCTCTCAGTCCCCTCCTCCCCGGGCCTCCCACCTTCTTGACAGCTGGCCTGCTGAGCTGCACATACTTACCCGGGGATAAGAGGATTTACTGACACAATTGATCAGATATCAACCTCATTTAGTCAAGAAATGAATGTTAAAAGGGTGGTGATTTTTATGCTGGTGTGTGCAGACAATTTGAGGGGGGGTTTCTCCCCCCCTCTTTTAGTGTGAGCGAGTATGTGCGCATGCAAGGAGTGAGTGTGATGGTTTGCAGCCAGCGCAAATGAGCCGGACTGGCAGCGCGGAGATTTCTTAATTACATGTTCACTGAATCTAATGAGCTCCTCAGGCTGTCCGTCTGATTACTTTAGGATGCATTCTGTTCTATGTCATTTGGTCACGGCACTGTCATCTACAGACTTTAACTCATTTTGCATAAAAACACATATAGAGTAGACGGTTATTGAACGAATCCATGCACATGCTGAGGATTCCTTTTTGTTGGGGTTCATGTGATAGATTTTGAAGTTTATGTTGTCATTTAGGAGTGCTGCTCCTGCTGCTCCCACCCCGTCATCCCCTCACTGTGCACTCCCAGTGCTGGTCTGCTCTCCAGACGGGAGATATTATTAGTTTGGTCTTATTGAATTACTACTCAGTGCAGCGCTCCATCCAGTTACAACCCAGTAATTAACTGCAAGGGATTTAGAGGGTTTGTGGTTTGTGATGTTTTTTTTAAACCTGTTGATCATCAGATCAATGTGATGTATTTGTGGCTTTGGGTATTCCTTCCTTTGGCTTTCAAAGTAAATATGATCATCTGACACAGCAGAGGCAGTTTGATGAGGATGTTTGAATCTTTTGCATGCAAGGGAACAGAATAATGTGATGTTGTTAAGCTCAGTAAAGGTCATATTAAGAATTATTGTTAGTATTCACTGGTCTGGTTAAGTGGTTAGTCTATAAAAATGCCTTGGAGGCAAAAAGTACTAATCCCAATTTTCCAAAGACTACAGCAAAAAGAATCAAAGAGTCTACCGCGATTGGTTTGTTATTGTTGATAACTGTGCAATCACTCTACATTCAAAGATCTTTCAAACACAATAAGCATATCAAAAGGGAGCTAATATGAAAATAGGCTGATGTGCTGTAAAACTCTATGGGTTACATTTCTTGCTAAAAGTAGCTGTGATTTACACTGGGTCAATTTTTAGGAGCCTTTCATCGCAAAGTCAGATCAAGCTGCATTTTAGCAGGTTATTGTGCGAGTCCTGCATCCGCCCTCAGTGCAGTAATTTCTGGGAACGATCAGTAGAGACCTGCGCTGCTGCAGACAGAAAACTCTTTTGAACTTGGCTCAGGAGTTTGGTAACAAGTGACCTTTGATTTGCGACACTAGTGTTCAAAGGTGCCCTTCACTGCTCTGTTTGCTCTCAGATAGATGCTTGAGTTGCTGAAGCGTTGCATAGGTTTAGACAAGACTGAGAGGGAAAAGTCAAACGACATATTTGTGAATGCTGCAGACTGCTAACGTACATTTCTGTGCCACGAAATGAATGGATGGATTATGGTCAAATATAGTCTGTGCATTTAAGAGTCTTTGTTGTGCAAGTGACTTAGATTGGACTGCCAGTTGAGGCGGGTCATTCAAGGATAGGCTTCTTTGAGCCGCTCGGGGCCCATTTGTGCTTCCTCCACTGAGCATGTTGGCCTTCTTACACACGGACACAAAACTCGCACACGCCCTTCCCAAAGCATGTTCACCTCTCTAGCAATTCCCTTTTAGGCATCCCACCAGCTGACTGTCCGTGTGCTTTTCTTTTCCCCTGTGTAATGCAGCCACGAACACACTCAGGTCTGGGCGAAGATTTGTCGTTAGTGTTGTGTCAAACATGTATGTTGTTTTTCAGAGTTTAAACGGACCCTGTCTCCAGACAAGCAGGAAATCTGAACATTCAGGTCACAAATAGAACTGCACCGATCTATCCACCGATCTACCTACTTTACTTTTCATTTCTCTCCATATTTTCATCCTCATATTATCTTTTACATCTAGTCTTGTTGGTCTTCAGAGCATGTTGCTAAACTATTGGCTGCTGGAGTACCCTGTTGCCATATCTCCCACTCTGTACTAGAATAGAATGGATCTTTATGAACCCCAAAGGGAATTTGTCATGCACATAAAAGAGGGGCCATTGCACGAAATCAGACACAGAACATGTTGTACAGTGGACGTCTATTACATAAGAGTGTTGATTGGATGAAAATGCACTCGGGAAAGTTGGGAACAATGCCACATAGTTGAATTTCAATCTATGTAGTGCATTTTGTAACAGCCTGGAGTGTGAAGTATATTTCTTTTATCCATTCAGCTCTGTGGGAGAGAGAGGAAGGCCCCAATCCATTTCTGCCTGCCAGGGATCACTTGTGGAGGGCTGGAGAAAGTGGGCGAGTAAAGAAGGGGGTGGAGGATATAGTTTCACTGCTAAACAGGAAGTTGCACAACATCTGTTCCTTTGCGTACAGAGAGGGAGTGAATGGCCAGCTGTGTCTTACTGTGTGTCTTTGTGCAGAAAGTGCTGCGTCCAGCCCGACAACATGACATTATTCCCTTTTTCACAATTTCTTCATATTTCAGCGCAATGGTCTTTCATTACTCAGTCACCATTTCCTTTAATGTGGTATAAGTGGGTGCTAAAGGTTAAATATCACAGCAACATTTCAAAACTGTTTCAAAATGTTTGACAAGTTGCTCTGAGTAAAGCCTTAAAACTGAAGTCAAACTTTTTCAGGTCTAAAAGGTCAAAAACAAATTGTGACAGTTTTTCCCCCAGAGTCAGATAAACAAACAGATTAGCAGCATTAGCGTTTAGCAATTTTGACACATTTTTATCAGATCAGATAAGGAAAACCAAGTTTAATTTATATTTGTGTGTTCCATTTCAAGTCACAGTGACCATGTTAGTAAAGGGGCCTGCAGAAAAAGCGATGACAGCAATGAAATTCAAAATAAATAAGATGATGCGAACTTCAAAAGCAGAGATTAGAAATCATAATTACAGACCAAACCATATGTATAGGATGTTTTCATTCAGTGGGAGCAGGAAAACTCTTGTTTTAGGCTGATATTTTTGGTGAAATCTAAAATGCACTAAATAAATTTAAGTCAGGAAAAAGAACATGCTTTTGAAAGAGTGCTGACAAGTACATACAATTCAGATTTTGTGCAATTATGACATACAGGAGGAGCTGAGATGGCTCTTTAGATTTAAGATTATCACACAGACTAGTCACAGCGAGGTCTAGGTCATAGCTGATCCTTTTTTTTTTTTTTTTTGAACTGTTGATTAGTTGTCAGAATCTTTTCTGTGGTAAATCATTCTTAAAATGGTGAAAATGTCCCTTTCCCTTCTTTTAAATCTCGCAAGATTTTTCTAGATGTCTTGTTTTGTCTGGTCAACAGTCCCGCAATCCTTGGACATAATCAGTTTACTGTCACATAAGAAAGGGGGAAGCATCAAATTCTTCACTTTTGAGAAGCTAGAACCTGCAATTTATTGTGTTAAATGAGACTTCACAATAAACCAAGCAAACAAATCGACTCATGGAGCTCTTGTTGCCCAGCTAATCTCCAGCATCTCAAGGGTCATGCTGTAGTCACGCTGTTTTTGACTCATGATTTTAATTGATCACTAGCATTTTCTTGTTATTTACAGTATTTTTAGCAACTCAGATTTGTTTACAACCATGAATCTCTACTAAATGAACTTTCAAGTGATAAAAGACTCCATTCTTATCTGTTGGAAAGTGCACAATCAATAATCATCTTTTAAACTTTCAACTTTTAAGTTAAATAAGTGTATTTTTTGACATTGGAGATCTAGGTTATTAGTAGTTGTGACAAAAAGACATCAAACCCTCCCTTGGGGCTCTCTCCGGGCACCCGGTTCAGCTTTGATTCAGGAAAAAAAAAAAGGACTTTGAAGATTATAAGAAACCCAAAACACAGGTGCTGTTCATTGCGTGTCTGTGCAATCATGCCACAACCCAGCTTTATAGACGCACATGGGACACAAGAATGTGACATTTAACTAAGAACAGTGGTGCAAAGCCCAGTATCACGCTGAGTTTGTGTGTGTGTTTGTGTGTGTAAATGGAGGCAGGGGATATACACTGACAAAAAAGCCAAAACTTCTGCAGGCTTATCCAAATATTTATGTGCATATGGTGGTCTGTCACTCTTCATCAGTAGCATTTTACTCAAGAAAGCCCAGTTTTGTTCGCGTCGTTGAGTCATCACCATTAGCCCAGAGGGGTACTGCTTATTGCATCTGTCTGTATTATGATAGCCTTTGGCATTTGTGTAAAGATGTGTCTTGGTCTCTTGCTCGTACACACCATATGTATATGATGGTATTTGCTGAATTTGTATTACTCGCAGCTACAACACATGCATGAAATTACACACCATGCCCTGTTACCCAGCTGACTGACAGCTTTTCTAAGTAGGTCATCTATGTAAATGCCAGCCTGTCAGTTTACATCAATGGCCGCTGAGCAAAGTCAGCATCCTGTGACCAAAATCAGATGGGCTTCACTCTGTGTCGCTAAATTTACACTCCAAAAGGACACATGGCACCACTGGCCAACAATATATAACCCAAACCTGGATTCTAATTAGATAACATCATCATTTTGACAGTTGCTAGACTTTACGTTTTAAAGTGTGATTATTTAGTGTATCCATTCATGTGGAACCTCTAAACTGTTTCGAACCTTGAAGCTAATTTTTATACAAATGTATCAAATGACTAATGGTAATGTAGAGACGTCCTTTTTGAACAATCCACTGATTTCCGTCATCTGACTGTAGAGCATCATCCTGATCATCAGTTTGGTTTTATCCTCCACAACTTTACTGTTCAGGTCTTCGTTCTATAAATATTGTTTCAGAAAAAAAACACTGAACACATCGGCTCAGTACCAAATGACAAACTATAGTGGAGCCAGATTTATTTAGTTTTTCTCCTAGTTGGTGGAGACTTGATAGCTAACAAGGGTTTGATGTGGTTGAATTTTATTTTAATTTATTCGCCTCTGTTTATTAGTTTTATGTCTATTGTATCTGTGATTCAGCAAATCTGTGGTGTCGAGTTCAGCTTCATGAAGTCAGACAAGTCGGTATTGGTTTCAAACTTGTTACACTGTCACCCAATACCCCGAAAGTCATGCATTTTAGATTCAAGCAGTTTATTTTGGATGCAGCTAAAAACTGGCCTTGGGTGGATATTTTGATTTTCGTAATACACAAAATTCCCAGATTAATAGGTCCTTCCTAGGACCTAAGTTAGCAGAGATACAGTACTGGGTTATATAATGTTTCTGTTATTCTGCCGCTGTGTATATACATAAATATTAGAATCGCCTTTGAATAGTCTGCTGTTCAAGTGGCTTTAGATAGTGTCTGCTCAAAGTACAACTTCGCAAAGAAAGCATGTGTGGTAGCATGGATGCATTTGTTTGTGTAGGTGTACCTTCCTAATTCTTTTATTCCTAACTCCTAAATCCAAAGTATTTGCTTGTTCTTTTCAACATGCACCTTCTTCCTTTCCAGACTCTACAGGGCCGATGAGTACAGCCCACTCCCACCCCCCTTTGATGGGCAGCATGGTGGGTCACCCATCAGTCATCAGCACCTCCAGGCCCTTACCGTCCCCCATGTCCACCTTGGGCTCACCAATGAACGGCCTGGCCTCTCCCTATCCAGTTATTACATCTTCCCTGGGCTCGCCCTCTGTATCGCTGCAGTCTACTCCCAACATGAACTTCGGACCACTCAGCAGTCCACAGGTGAGACATGTGGGGGTGTTTGGTCGTCAGAAGATAACAATGAATTGTTATTTCCCTAAATGGCTCGAGTATAAAGTTGCTTTTATGTATCCATGAAATTATCATGACAGGATTATTATTATTTTTGCATTTATATTTGAAATGTTTGTTCTTCTTTCACCATTCTCTGTCAAAGCGAACTCTTAAGGCAGGTAAGTAAAAAAAAAAAAATGCACCACTCAGAACCCCATTTGGAAATGCCAGAGAATGTGTTTTGAAGCAGAGTTTGTGTGTTTTAAGGTAGTGAAGAATGCAAATACTACTTGCTAGAACTGTTACTTTTGGCAAGGTGCACATGTATTAAATAACATGTTTTTCGGTGGTCATGTGCCTTTATTGCTTGGGATCTCCTCCAGCAGACAGGACTTTGAAGGTTAGCCATATCCAATGTGTTTGGCAGGCATAGCTTGGCTTTACTCTCACTCTTTTACCCTTCTGCTGACCTTTAAACTTTTCTCCCTAAAGGTCATCCATGAGTTCTGAATTACTACACTCATAGAATTGGACATATAAGACACAGTATGACTATTAATGGATTCCTGAAAGACGGAGAAAGGGCAGCCTAATTTTTCCTGGTTTCTCCTTCTTCCTTTGCGGATATTTCTATTTATTTGTTTTACTTTTATGTGCTCATTTAGGCATATACTAATAATACCAAGGCTCTTTACGTCACAGGAGCTCTGTTGCACTTTTTAAGCTCAGTGATTTGACAGTCAGCCATACAAACAGAAACAAAGATGTTTGGATGCACATGGTGCTTTCAAGGCTAGATTCAGGACCGTGCTGTTGGGAATAGCAGGCGATGATATACATTTTATGATAGAGATTTTGGCTTTTTTGCTGCATGCCAAAAACAAAGCTGCTGGCAGGTTTTTTATCATGTAATGTATGTTTTTCATGGAGTGAAGATTACGAACATGACAGTGTTAGCAACATGAGGCAACATGAAATCATTATTTTAATTACAAGGAGAAATGATGTGTAAATTTGATTTATTTGGATGATTGTGACTGACTTTGTTTTACATCATCACATTTGCTTTGGAGTAGCTGATAACTGATTTTCTGATCAGTTAAATAATCAGCGATTTAATGAATTCATCAATCAGCAAAAATTTACTCAAAAAAAATCAATTTCATTTTACAGAAATCTTTACATATAGATTTAAAAAACAAACACGTGCATCACTCAGTAAACCTTGCATGTCTCATGCAGTATTTTCTTCATACCATGTGTTGAATAAAAAATGTATGAAGCATCAATAATCCATATGCAGTGCTCGTAGCCGTTTTCTACAGCATCCTGTTGTCTGTGTAAAGCTGCATGTTGTCTAAACGACAGTTTAAAAACACTTATTTTTTTAGATCATGCAAAATTAATTATGAAAACTCTATGCTACGCTGAATAGCTGCTCACTACAGACACGCCAATAAGCGAGCACGCTGTTGCTGAAAGCTTATTTAGGGTGTGACCGCCTCCCTGCAGGCAGCCAGCATGCTGACATTAAACTGAATGACGGCAAAAAGAAACACTCTTGTGTGATGGTCTCTGCTGCAAATTCATGGATATAGAGTCCCAAATTCAGACTGCCATTGGAGAATATTGAGAGTGCACTTTGTAAATAAGTGATAGGATCTGTCAGAAGGATGTCCGATACTGTATATCATGCTGCATCATATACTACAAGGTATATGTAGGCCAGGCTTGTTTTTTTCTGGTTGGAATCTGGAGATCAAGCAAATATGCTTTCCATGTGTCTCTCTGAGAGAGGATCGACAGGCTGGACGATGATAAGAAGAGAAAGAAGCAGATATGAAGAAATCAAAGGAGGCTTAACTTGTTGCTCTTTTTTTGGGAAACATATTATATTACACATTATTTCTAAATTGGCCATACTTAGTGGTTTGGAGTCTTGATGTACCATATTTGGGAGTTACTCGTATATCTCGTGGGGTTCCTTGGGATCAGGTGCGAAACCCTACGCTGCAGTAAGAGATATAAATCATGTCAGTTGAAGTGTGCATTATTGTGCATCTACTTGGGATTGAAAGCTGCTGTAAGCACTGCTTATGATATAAAAAAATGGCAGATAAAATACATTTGGCCTTCATTGGAGGTCTAACAGAAATGCCAACTGTCATCACAAAGCATAAAATTCACCATGAGTTCCCTCTGCTGCTGAGTTTGAGAACTGCGCCTGCTCCACGTGACTCCCCCTTCCTGCGACTCTCCCTGTCAGCAAACATTAAAAAACCTGTATGACAGGCCTCAGCCACTCCTACAGGCTGAGCATGTGATCATACCAAGACACTTTCACAATAAAGTGTGTGGGTGGGGGAACAAAAAAATATGAGTGAGCGGAAGACAAAATGAGAAAATAGGGGAAGGGAGAGAGTGTCATGAGACTACCACAAACTTTTCACTCTTACTTCCCCTCTGCTTCCTCCTCTGCTCTGTTCCGTTCAGCTCTGGCCACCTCAGCTTTAATTCTTTGTTCTCTCTTCTCTCTTCCTGTCATCTGCAGATGAACTCTATGAACAGTGTTAGCAGCTCAGAGGACATCAAGCCTCCGCCGGGCCTACAGAATCTGGGAAACATCAACTACCAATGTACGAGCCCGGGAGGGATGTCAAAGCACATCTGTGCCATTTGTGGGGACCGCTCCTCAGGTAATGTTAGCATGCAAGGACGGAGGAGAGGGATGGGCAAGCATATTTACACTCCCACTCACCACCACAACTCCCCCCACCCAGATGAGAACAGATAGTAGACAAAGACGGACTTGTTTGAAGTCATTTGTTAAGTATTTTGTCAGGATTTGTGCCGTATGTTTCTGCAAATATCTTTTATCGGTGTGTTGTTACAAGTAGGTTGTCTATCATACAGAAAATAGTTAACACATTTCCAATCCTAATTCTAAAGATGTGCCCAGAAATTAGTCTACAAGCCAGTGCGACGCTTTATGCACTGTGACGCAAGCTGAATAGTGGTCCTAATCAATATTGATCCTGTGGCTTTATTCTCCTCAGGAAAGCACTATGGTGTATACAGCTGTGAGGGATGTAAAGGTTTCTTCAAGAGGACCGTGCGCAAAGATCTCAGCTACACTTGTCGAGATAACAAGGAGTGCCTGATTGACAAGCGCCAGCGAAACCGCTGCCAATACTGCCGCTACCAGAAGTGCCTGGCCATGGGCATGAAAAGAGAAGGTGTGTATGGAGGGTTAGAAAAAGGTTGGTTCGAAATTTTAACAATATGTGACATTTTGCAGTTAAAATAAAATCACATGTGGTTTTGTCTTGTAGTAAAACTATAATTTTCAGGTAAATTCAGTTTTGTTTATTGAATGTTCTATATAGCGCCAAATTACGACAAGAGTCGCTTCAAGGCGCTTAATATTGTAAGATGAAGACGCTACAAGAATAGAGAAAATCCCAACATTCAGACGTTCCCCTGTGAGCAAGTACTCGGCAAAAGTGGGAAGGAAAAAAACCTCATGGCAGAACCAGGCTCAGGGAGGCGCGGCTATCTGTCGCGACCGGTTGGAGGGGTTTTGAGTTATCTGCTAATATTACAGATTTTCTAGTCAACAATTCAGGATGTTTAAATGCTGTGTGGTTTTTTTGTGTGTCTGTGTGCAGCGGTGCAGGAGGAGAGGCAGCGTGGGAAAGAGCGGGGTGAGAATGAGGTAGAATCCACCAGCAGTTTCAATGAGGACATGCCTGTGGACAAGATCCTAGATGCTGAGTTGGCTGTAGAACCCAAAACAGAGACGTACAGCGACGGCAGCCCCGGGAACTCGGTAATTAATACAGACACTGGTCCATGTCTCTTTCACTGTTTGTATTATGAATCTGAGGCAGTTTTTCTGGGGAGAAACTAGATGCCAAGATGTGCTGTGCTATTAAGATATACTGATCTTATTATAAACATAAACACACAAGCTTGGCTAAATAGTTTTGAGTGTGAAGCTGAGACCGGATGGAATTGGGTCAGTTGAATATAAATAACACAAGCTGAGGAGTTTATGGGAATAAATCTAGGCTTTGCTCCAAAATTCTGACAAGCTACTTTGTGCAGTTGTCATAATCTCCTGGGTTAATCTGTTGAGATAATGTAGCCGAGCTGCCGAGTTGCTCTGGTCCAAAACTAACTCTTAAATCTGACAAGTTAGTAAACAAATTAAGTAAACACTGATTTAGCAATTTACTGGGTATGAGCTCAAGCACTTAAATGAATTTTAAAACCTAGAGGTTGGATAACAAAGCCACAATTTAAAAGCTGTGCGGAACTTGAATTGAATTGTGCTTCAAGATATTTCCCTTCTTTGGTATGTAGAATTTAGGATTGTATTAAAACTACCGCAAGCAACGAGAGAAATTGTTGGTTTAAAAAGAGTCAAAAATAGCCACTGCTGCACCTGGTTACCAGCTGTTGCTAGAAAAGGTTTAGATGTCACTAACAGTGCCTACAATCACATTAAATCGGTCTGGCACTTGTCCTACATGTTCTTCTCCAGACCAATGACCCCGTCACCAATATCTGCCAAGCAGCAGACAAGCAGCTTTTCACCTTGGTGGAGTGGGCGAAAAGGATCCCGCACTTCTCCGAGCTCCCCCTCGATGACCAGGTCATCTTACTACGAGCAGGTAGACACGCAAACACAAACCAGTGCATGCGGCAAGCTTATGCTCACACAAATATCAGACCACACACTCATACACAGCAGTTTCCTGCAAGGGTAAACAGTCCTTTATCCTCCCTTTCCCCCCTCACTTTTTGTGTAGTATTTTCATTCAGCATAGTTGCCGAGCCGATGTCAAGCAGTCTATTTAAGTCTTTTTTTTTTTTTGTAACATCTAGTTTAATGGAGCAGTGAAACCAAAATAACTGGACCATTTGCAAGTCCCAGCAGTGCAGTTTGCTGCCAGTGCTGACCTCTGCTGGGAGGAGATTTAACACATGCCAGGACGATAAAGTGAAAAAGTCACAAAATGGATAATTAATTTTAAGCAAGCAGGGAAATCACAGAACATGTTTTGTGTATTTAATTTACACAAACTAAAGACGGGCTTTAAAGAGACGAGTGGATCGAGATGTCACTCGTTTTTCTTGTTCCTTTTTTGTGTCCAGGCTGGAACGAGCTACTAATTGCATCATTCTCGCATCGCTCGGTCACGGTAAAAGACGGTATCCTGCTGGCAACAGGTCTTCACGTCCACAGAAGCAGCGCCCACAGTGCTGGAGTTGGCTCCATCTTTGACAGGTAGGAAGGATTGAAAGATGAGACAAAAAGATAAAATAATGTGACATTTAGACTCCTTCATGATTAACCTCTTAATTCTGTATATTTTGTGGTTGGAGGCAACCCCCCCCCCAACACCACCGTTAACTGGCTGTAAATGTTACTAATGTCTTAACTGCATTCATTTCAGTGTGTTGTCATTTAAGCTAAGTACATATTTGCATAGAAATGCAAATTCTTTACTGAGAAATTATTCTAATTCTTGTACTGATTTAATTCAGTCCTATTTTTGTGACTAGTCATTGTTTCTTTCTTGATTTCCTGCAGAGTACTCACAGAGTTAGTATCTAAAATGAAAGATATGAAGATGGATAAGACGGAGCTCGGCTGCTTGCGAGCAATTGTCCTCTTCAATCCAGGTCAGTCTGGCCTCTTGAGACTGTTACATACCACCCAAAACAACATTTTCACCGACATTTCAGTTGTGTTATTTCACTGCTTATTTTAGTAACTGCAGAATCACTATACTGGATTCATGAAATTCATGTGAACATATTTGTCAAGTGCAATGTTGGTCATCATAATATTATGGCTAGTTGGAGAGATTTTACTGTGCACCCATGCGTTCCTAATGGCTCAGTCAGACTAGACTAAAAATAGGATAGTAATCTACTTTATATCAAGAAAAATTAGTGATTGCCCGGATTCTTTTTGCTGATTGTAAGTAGTTGCAGCAACCATTTTCAATTGCACAGGTGTCTTGGTAGAAGAAAACAGCTTTGCTGAGCACCTGTGTCATATAAATCAGTCAATTAACCATCCTGCAGCAATTAGGTCACTATTTGCGGAGGAATTTCTGAATCTCTGTTTAAAATTTATGAGGTTCTGGCTGGACTCTAAATGTAATGATGCATTCAGTTTCCCTTGGAAGCAGGGCTGGGAGTGACATCACTCCCAAGTTGAGTGTGTTCCAGTAGTGAAGTCAGAAAAACAGGATTTATTTTGTTCCTTAGCAAGTAGAGCCATTCATACCACGATGGGGATACAAGGTGATGTTTGTTTGGGTTTGTTGTTGTTTTTTAACTGAAAAACACAACAGCAACACATTTATGGTTCGAGCCTGCACGGTGTTCTGTATATGGCTTATTTAGCGAATCAAATATGTACAACAGTATTTTCACAGATTGAAAGTTGAGAACGCTGAAATTCAGACTTACAGCTTCAAATGGAATACACAGAATTTCTGTGTTGTTAGACGGCAAAAGATTTATGATTTTTGCTCACAGTTAACAGCCATGTTATCACAAACAGACTGCAGAAAATTGACTCCATTCGATCACAAACTAGCAGAATGACTTGTGTGTTTTGTTTTGGGTCTTTTTTTCCAGATGCAAAAGGTTTGTCTAACCCAGCAGAGGTTGAGGGGCTGAGAGAAAAGGTCTATGCTTCATTGGAGTCGTATACAAAACAGAAGTACCCGGACCAGCCTGGCAGGTAGGAACTGTTCCATTACAACATCGATCATTTTTAAACACATTTCTGCACTGGATGTAAAGAATAATAAGGATGGCAGCTTGCATTATATTAGTACACAGCTCTTATGCAAGTAAAAAACTTTTGCCTAACCACAACATTGCATTTAAAAGGATGTAGGCTGATAACGCTATTTGTAACTGCAAATTGTTGCCATTGACTGTATTTTTTATTTGGGAGCTGATTGAGAGCAACAGGTATTAGAGGTAAAAGCAGACACTGCAAACTTCCTGAAAAGTCAACACATCACAGCTGAGATGCAGAAAGAACGCTTAAGAATATTTTGGTCACTATTGAGATCACAGTTATTATTATTATTACCCCATGAATATTTCACCTCACTGAAAAAACATTTAATGGTGAAATTATGACATAAAGTGCACATGATTGAAGTGAAACTAGCATGCCACAGCCCGGCAGTGAAAAAGATCACCACTGCAACATGTAATACTTTTTCTTGTTTGTTTTCATTAATCTAAATCATAAATCTCTGAGCAAAGAATTGATTTTTGAAAGGTAAATGTAACACTAGCTTGACTTTCTTTGAAATGGCTTACTGTGTACGGTATGTTGTCTCATGAAAAGTGAGATGTTTACAATATTAAAAAAAAAATCTTGATATGCACTCACTATATTCTTTATTAGGAACATCTTGCTAGTCCTTTTGGGCCATATCGATATGATTGCTGCATGTCTATGATGGGATTCTCACGTTCCACCACATCCCAAAGGTGCTCTATTGGATTGAGATTCGGTGACTGTGGTGTTTTATCCTGCTGGAAAAAGCAGAAAATGGGAACACTGTGATCAATAATGATATAGTCAGCACCAATGTTCAGATAAGCAGTGATGTTTAAAGCGATGCTCAGTTGGAGCCCAAAATGTGCCAAGAAAATATCTCCCACACACACACACTACCACCACACTACCACCAACAGCAGCCTGAATTGTATACAGGGCATAGTGCATCCATGTTTTCATGGTGTTTGCACCAAATTCTGACCCTATTATTCTAATGTCACAGTAAAAATTGTGACTTATCAAATGAGACATTGTTTGTCCATTCCTCTGTGGTTCAATTTAGGTGGCGCTCTGTCCTTTAGCAGGTGACCCGGTGTGGTCTTGTTGCTGCTGTAGGCCATCTGCTTTAAAGTTTAATATGTTGTGCATTCAGAGATGCTCCCATGCATGTATTTTCTTTTTTGGACTATTCTCTGCAAACCGTATAGATGATTGTCACCTTTCGTCCTGAACTTCAGCAGGTCATCTTGATCATGTCTACATGCCTAAATGCAGAGTTGCTGCCATGTGATTGGCTGATTAGATATTTGCATTACAAAGCAGGTGAACAGGTGTATCAAACAAAGTGGCTAGTGAGTGTGTGTAAAATATGGCTTTTTTTTTTTTTTTTTAAACAACTTTGAACATGTGTGGAAGTGAGTTTTAAGCTCAGTTGTTCTCGCCTCACTATTTGGCACGACTTTTTATTATTCTCAGGTTTGCCAAACTGCTGCTGCGCCTGCCTGCCCTGCGCTCCATCGGCCTCAAATGTTTGGAGCATCTGTTCTTCTTCAAGCTAATTGGGGACACGCCTATTGACACCTTTTTGATGGAGATGCTGGAGGCTCCGCATCAGATCACATGACACACGTCTTCCCCTTTCCCTTGTACATACTCCCGCATCATAAGCAATATGATGATGGAATTAAAAAGACTTGATTGAAATGTAAAACAGCTTATTTTGTACCCATTTTAAAAAAAAAAATGCAATTAAAATGTTTAAAAAAAATGTGGTTGTGGGGATGGTGGAGTCATAACTCGATAAATTCCAATAAAGTTGGTTTGGAATTTTGTAAATAGCTAATTTCAGGTGTTTGTTTCAAAAGCCACCAAATGCAAAATTTGAAGAAAAAAAATCATATTTTATTCAAAGCAGAATTGTATAAAACAAAAACCATGCCTGAATTTCTTAAACGTGTCTGAGAATTCTTACAGAATAAAGTTATTTAAAAATGTACATGAAATATTTTGTGCATTGTGTTAATGCATTATCACATTTTCTTTTATTAGCTGTGTTTGGTATCAAATATAAAGTGAACCTGCTATTTTCACTCCTCGTCCACCAGATGGCGTCCACAGAGTGCCATCAAGACGAGAGACGCTGCTTCACAGCATTTTTTTTTTTTTTTAGAGCTGTTTGCACGGATTCCTGTATCCTCCTCGTGGCTACGGTCTGTCAGAGTTACATGACTCGTCAGGGCCTCTGCAGGCTTCAGCATCACGAACTGCCAGGACCTCATCACAAAGACCTTTGATTTCATTAAGACGTCTTGGTGAAGATAATCCACGAAGAAATAGGAATCTAGAGAGAACAAAAAAAGAAAATAAATCTACGTCGGAATATGTGCCTATACTGGAATGAGTCAGTATGTTGGCTGATATGTAACAAAATCCGCACGGGTTTGCAGTTGTCCGCAATAGTTGCAACTGGAGCTAGAATATAAAATAGCATACAGCCATATCTTGCTCACATGTTTCAATAGGAAAAATAGATGTTGTTATTTTGCAAAAATCATTGGAATCTCTATGATCCCATTTACTGCCAAGACTGGGCTAAAGTGAAACTTTGTGAAGCCACTAATTCGCAGAAAAACCAAACTGATTATTTAAAGCTTTTGGGGGGGGGAATCATCACTTAAGTGTGTGACCTTTTAACCTGCAGTTTACTGTGTTATCAAATCACAATTTGAATACTACTGGCATTGAGGCTTGGCGAGAGAGACACACAAGCGTGGGGGAGAGAGTGAGTGACCGAGGGAGGAGAGAGAGTGCCTGGCAGAGAACGAGAGAGAAGGAGAGAGAGAGAGGTAACCTGCACCTGCACATGGAGGAAGTCTTACTCTGTTTCGCGCTCGCTCTCTCTCACTCTCTTTCCCGTTCACCCCTAATAGGATAATTGATAGACAGCCCAAATAGTCAATAACTGTGGACTCAGCGAGGTCGCTGGAAGCACTAAGCAGAAACTTTGATGCGCTGCTCTCTGCTCCGAGGAGCAAGTTGCAGGGGAACTTTGAGTGGCGGAGATGCTCTGAGCAGGACTGGGAGTTCATAACCAAAATCCTTCGCTGCTGACCGGAAACTCGCATTTTACAGGTATGCCACTCTTCTTAGAAAACTCTAAGAAAAAAATCTTAGAAAAATGTTTTCCTTAAATTAAACCTTGGTGAAAATATATTTCGCAGCTTCTTCAGGGAACAGCAATGGTGGATATACCGGATACATCCTTAGGTAAGTAAACATGTATTTTATCAATATATTGAGATTAGATTCGTTTATTTTAAGCAACTTCATTTGTTGTTGTTTTTTATCAGCTCAACAGAATTACTCAGTTGCTAGAATTTAACAATTTGAAATTTTAAAAAAGTGCTAACTTTAAAATAGTTGTTCAAATGTATATCGCTCTTATAAAACACACGCACACATTTCCTCTGATTATAAAAGAGGAAAAGTTTGGTTAATTTGCCAACCTTCGTCTAGTTCAGCCACTTGGTTAGGCAAACAACAAAATTTGCCAATTTTCATTTCTTCAGTTTTATCCTTCTCGCTGAACCAAAATATTTACCAATTAAAGGATTTCCGTGCATTGCAGATGTGAATCGGAGGGCAGTGTGTGCAGGATGCCATCGGTTGATCAGAGACCGATTCCTGCTCAGAGTCACTGACGGCCTCTGGCATGAGGACTGCGTGCGGTGCGCAGCGTGCGGGGACGCGCTCACGAACTCCTGCTTTCTGCGGGACCGCAAACTTTACTGCAAACGGGACTATGCTGAGTGAGTTATTATTTATAACTGTTTGGTTCATAGGTGGCGTAAGTAGTAGTTCCTTTTTCACGGGAAATCACCAATTTCAACTTTAACCAAGACGTGACAAAATAAAATTTGCAACTTGGGCACATATAATGCAACACACGCAGGCATGTTAAGAAAAAACTACCTAATATTTCTCATACAGTTAAAAAAAAGAAAAAAAAACATATTAAACGACTCTAACCATTAAAATGTTTGAATAAGCGTTTTAACACAACACTAAACTAATAAAGTTCTAAATAAGGTAGTAGTCGTTTTATGCAGCCTCCTGCAAAAATATAATCATGATATAGAAAAATATATATGACCTTTTCTGCCATTTAAAAAAAACAACTATGTTATTTGACTTCAGTTTTGATCATTTTATTCTGAGGGCCAAACCTGATGGTGTATCATTAAGGTCATTTTTGCAACAGTACAGCTTTGTCCAGACTTGACCTTGACTAAGAAAGTGTGTGTGTGTGTGTGTGTGTGTGTGCGCGCGCGCGCGCGTGTGTGTCTGAGAGATAAAGAAAATAACTTTCTCATAAGGCCAACATAAATATTTCTAATCCTTCTTAGTGTTGTATTGGGTAGACATGGATGCATTTTGTGTGCAGTTGTGTTTAAATGTGTGTATATGCCGTAATATGACTTCCAGTAAACTTGGCACAGTGCACTGAGAGAACAAGGTGACTGTAGGAGGAAGGGGTGGCAAGGGAGCTGGAATGTAAGAAAACTATTGTATTGTGTTGCGTTCGTCCGTACATGCACATGCACACACACAATAATGTGGTCACACCTTCATGCACAACCAGGGGTAAGGCTCAACTGACACATTGTCAAAATGTGTTAAAATTTTGAGGCCCACTGACGTGGCAACTGCAAGCTGGGGACAACATATGGTCCCCCACCCATCCACACACACACAAAAAAAAAAAAAATCACCTACTGCTCATGCCCTCCTACCTCATTCACCAGCTCATCCCCCCTCAGCTTCCAAATACACTCTGCACACCCTAAAAGGCAACAACTCACATTATTTTTGAACAATTTGGTAATGGCTGTTCTGCCAAGCACACAGGGAAGCAAGGAAATGTTTCAACACACTCATGTTGGAGACATATACCTTTAAAGGAGACGGAGTGTTTTAGAAAAATATGTAGATTTAATTTCTGTAAAACAAAACAAAAAAATTAATGTACTTAGTGTCTTCAGTGGAGATAATAACACTTGGCGAAAACACGTAGTAAAGACTTGTACTGAGAGGTAATTAGGAGTGCACAGCCATATGTCAGAAGGTCTGGTGCATCCCTACAAGAGGGACGGTGAGGATGGTGTGAACTTATTTTGGGGGACAGTGCGCTCCATGAGCCCTGGCGTTATGCGCCGTGGCATCTGGAAAGCTCTTCACACAGCAGCCCCTGTGTTGAGCAATGGGACAACGCCCAGCCGACCGTGAGTTATCTGACCTGATCAATTAGCAGGAGGCCTGGTGCCAAAGCTCCACCTCTGAGTCCACCCGTCATCCTTCCACCCCTGCTGTCCTGTCTGGAGTTACGACACCCAATAACACATGAGCACTACTTTTGACCACAATGAAGGTTTTAAAACTGTGCCAGTTTTTTTTTCTTCTCACCAACAAACTATGTCCTGCTCCCCCGTTCGGCTGATGCAAAACAAGTGTGATTATTCCATACTGTGACAACATTTGTCTTTTACCACATGCTGCATCGTCTGACTGAATCTTGCTTTGTTTTTACCTTTGTTTCACCATGAAGCCTGGCCCATTCATGTGGTTTATAAGACAATAATGCTAATATTTGCCAGTACCAGAGGACCGTACAGATTTCAGTTTTATATATATTTATGCATCTAAAATGTTTCTTTTTAATAACAAGTAGGAACATGAGGATATAATATATGTGCCACAAAGGAATAATAACATTAAAAAAGGGTTGAAAATTAAAAAATTAACTTAATTAAAGTAGTTTATCTCTTTTTGGATGATCTAATATGTGTGATATAACAAACAAGATGCATAAAAACATTTTTGTTTTAACAGAACTTTACTGATTTTCATTGTCTGTCCCAGTTACTGTGGCAGACAAGACTAACTTAAGCATATTTAAACTCATTCAGTATCTGAGAAAGTCATCACAACAAAAATAAATAAATTCAACATGTTTTCATATCATAATACTTTCTGATAGTCATTTTTTCCTCTTTAATGTAATTTTTGATTATATCAAAACACTTTGAATTAAATTTTTTATAAAGACCAGCTGAGCAGAGGGGTTTTTGCACCTCAAGCGTGGGGGGGGATCCATCTGTTTTTCTTCCTCTTATCCAACCCGAGGGTTGCATTGAAAAAACACAGTATTTAAGCATTAATTATAAAGTCATCGGCAGTATGTGTTGTATTAGCTTGCAGTCATTTCCCCACATTTTAGAGAAGCCGCTGAAGCTTTTCTAACTGTAATCATTAATTTACAATAATCTGATTCATTTAGACGACTGAATGCAGTTGTTTTTAATAATGCTTGTTTTATTCCATAGTTTATACATTGGCTGTCTGACCTGTAGTGACTCCAGTTTTCTGAAGCCGAATGCAGAATCCTGTCTGACAGCGTGTCTTCAGCTTGGTTTAGGTTAACTAAACGGTTCAGCGGGCAGGTGGACCGGACAGCAGATTGGTCGTCAGATCTTCGGTGTGACTCGCTGTGCACTTGACCTGACGATCTGTATCTGATACATAGCTCCCGCTGGTGTGTGCGTTCAGCAATGGATCTAAGTTAACCTGATCCAGAAACAAGATCTGCCTCTCTGCTTGTCCACTAGACCAGCAGTCTGAATGCCTGACTGCCAAAGGTCAGCACTGAAGTCAGAGCAAGAACAATGAAAGAGGAGGACTTGAGGAAAACTGTGAGTTTGTCTGTGTACATTTCTGCTAAACACTCATCTTTTTATACAGTGCTTCTGCATTAGGAGTGCCTCACCCAGACCATGTCAGTGTGGAGGAGTGCAAAATTTTGCTGACTTACTCCTCTGTAATGATCTTGTCACTAATTGCCATGTCTAAATCCAGCGTGACTGAGTGTTCCCGCTCTCCTGGCCGAGCCTCTGGGCCAATCATGTCAGCGGAAACTCTGAAATATTAAACACCTTGAGCCACTCCA